ACAACGATTAACACGCATCGCAGAAAGCTTTACAAAGACACCAGTACACCGTGACACCCCTCTAACGAAGACCAGGCTGAGCAAGCATGATTAAAAGGTCAGCTAGTGTGTGGGCCCAACCTCGTTACTATACCAGTCTATAAACGTCTCCTGTATTTATCAAACACCTAGTTTCGGGTACACCGTAAAAGGGCAATGTCGTCAGCGAAATTCAGGTCAAGACAAGCGGTGAGGTCACAGAAACTGGGACAAACAAAACCAGAAGGAAAGATAACAACAATGGGAAGAATATGAACTGGGACAAACAACACATGAAGGAGAGACAACAACAATAGGAACAACAAAAACTGGGACAAACAATACAGAAAGAAAAGACATCAATGGGAGAAACATAACCTGGGACAAACAAAACATGAAGGAAAGACAACGATAATGGGGCCATACAGGGCACAAGAAAGGACGCTGGCAACTTCAGCCCCCCCCCTCCCCCACTGTAAAAATTTAAAGGAGTGTTGCACCCTCCCCTCCCCAACCACCACCACAAAATGGTCTCCATAACCCTTTCAAGGAATGTCCCGATTTCAATGGTTCAGCGAATATTTCACCGTACAAGCCTGTTTGACTGGCAGGCGCGGCCACCCTCTATTGCTTGGCGTGAGGTTTGACGACATCATGCACCGAGTGCTGATTGGACTATAAATATGTGTCTACTACTTGTATACCCTACCCCTGCTATCATAGATAGGTTTCGCTGCTGATTTTGTATTTGATATTTCGCTAAAGATGCAGGGACAACAAGCTTGCTGTCATGTCTCTGTATTAAATTAGTATGGAGATTTGCTGTTTTGCCAGGTTTGTTGTTATTGTCAGTTTGGATTAAGAACGCATTAGGTTACAAATACAAATATTTATCTGTTCTACAGATATCTGATGTTTGAAATCTCTGTTGTTATCTGAAACTCTGTTGTAGTGCACCGCCATCTCTTGATGTAGTTCGCGATAATCAGCATACACGTAGAATTATTACATAAGGTATGTCACCAGCTCACACGTAAACCGGCTACCGGCCATGTTGAATAGCACGACACAATCGCTGCACAAATGTTATGTTATGTTATGTCATCACAGTTGACGTCTGTGCACATTGGCATCCCTATGCGTGCTCAGTCCTCTGATGCAGCAGCCACTCCAAGGTACCTCAACTGATTGTTCCTACAGGAGTTGGTCACAGTATACCCTGTCTTCACCTAGAAGACAGGGCTGAACCAAGCACTAACTCACAGTATACCCTGTCTTCACCTAGAAGACAGGGCTGAACCAAGCACTAACTCACAGTATACCCTGTCTTCACCTAGAAGACAGGGCTGAACCAAGCACTAACTCACAGTATACCCTGTCTTCACCTAGAAGACAGGGCTGAACCAAGCACTAACTCACAGTATACCTGTCTTCACCTAGAAGACAGGGCTGAACCAAGCACTAACTCACAGTATACCCTGTCTTCACCTAGAAGACAGGGCTGAACCAAGCACTAAATCACAGTATACCCTGTCTTCACCTAGAAGACAGGGCTGAACCAAGCACTAACTCACAGTATACCCTGTCTTCACCTAGAAGACAGGGCTGAACCAAGCACTAACTCACAGTATACCCTGTCTTCACCTAGAAGACAGGGCTTGAACCAAGCACTAACTCACAGTATACCCTGTCTTCACCTAGAAGACAGGGCTGAACCAAGCACTAACTCACAGTATACCCTGTCTTCACCTAGAAGACAGGGCTGAACCAAGCACTAACTCACAGTATACCCTGTCTTCACCTAGAAGACAGGGCTGAACCAAGCACTAACTCACAGTATACCCTGACTTCACCTAGAAGACAGGGCTGAACCAAGCACTAACTCACAGTATACCCTGTCTTCACCTAGAAGACAGGGCTGAACCAAGCACTAACTCACAGTATACCCTGTCTTCACCTAGAAGACAGGGCTGAACTAAGCACTAACTCACAGTATACCCTGTCTTCACCTAGAAGACAGGGCTGAACCAAGCACTAACTCACAGTATACCCTGTCTTCACCTAGAAGACAGGGCTGAACTAAGCACTAACTCACAGTATACCCTGTCTTCACCTAGAAGACAGGGCTGAACTAAGCACTAACTCACTACCTTAGGCAGCGAAACCGTAGCCTAACGTACATCTGGGAAACTGCATTAGCAAAGCGCTGTCAGAAGCAAAAATAAATTCGAAGCTAAACATTCTTTTGCAGAGAAAAAAATAATCAAGGTTTAGTCATGGCTTAGGGCTGCCCAGATCTAGCAGCTTACTCTCCACCATGTCTTACCCCGTATCGACCAATTAGGGGTGTTTTCTTCCCAGTCAGACTGCAGCTACCTGACTGACGAGTAGCCAACAACCTGCCCTTAAGTTGTCCAGATTTGTTAAATTAATAGGTGTGCAAAACTCGATTTCTAGAACACGGCTAAAGTCCAAAAGTGGACGAACAACCAGAACTTCCTGATGGAGTTTACAGCCGATAAACGCGAAAAAGAATACCAAGTTTATATTGATGAGATTACTTGAAAACTTACTTTCATAACCATTTCCTACCTTTCACATGTGTGTGTATGTATGTGTGTCCATATGTGTGTGTGTGTGTGTCCATGTGTGTGTGTTCATCTCTCCCCACCATAGCACATCCGTTGGTCTGTCTGTCTGTCTGTCTGTCTGTCTGTCTGTCTGTCTGTCTGTCTGTCTGTCTGTCTGTCTGTCTGTCTGTCTGTCTGTCTGTCTGTCTGTCTGTCTGTCTGTCTGTCTGTCTGTCTGTCTGTCTGTCTGTCTGTCTGTCTGTCTGTCTGTCTGTCTGTCTGTCTGTCTGTCTGTCTGTCTGTCTGTAAAAGATCTGCTGATAATTTAAACACATACGCCACACATATACACACACTCATACTTTCAACAAACAATAGCTACACACAGCAACAACTATTGAGATCTATTGTAGGGCACAGAGAAACGTGGGGGGGGGGGGGGGGGGGGGGACAACGGCGTAGTTTAAATCCCCTGGTTCAAGTTTATTTTACAGTGATCATGCAGTGACGAGATCGGTGGAATGCTGACCACATCAACCACCAAGTGACGACTGGTCCATACAAGTCTAGGTCTAGTCTTATATTTCCAATATACCCGAAGGCGTGGGAGAGGGACCTTTTATACAATGAGATCTATAGACATGTTGCCAGGGGGGATAGCAATTGGTGGTCAAAATATGAATGAAATTAGCGACGAATTTATGTCCTGGCTACGTCTCAATATTTGTTAGAAAATACTGCACACGAAAAACGATACAGCGGCTGTTAAGAGACAGGATGACATGTTGAATGTTAAATTAAGAATCGACATCACAGCACTCGGGACCCTCCCATAAGTGCTCCATCCCCATCTTCAACAGCAAGCGAAGAGTTCCCAATTCCGATGGTACCAATAAATCTTATTGTATATCGTCTCGCCTTGCCGCTGAGTGTTGAGCGTCGGCCAGATGCCCTATCAACTCCTCGCAGCGCCATTCTCCTCAGACCGTAATGTTCTGTTTGTGCCTCCGCCCTGGGCACTCGCTCCCAAAGGGCTCCTATAAAATCTAGCTTGCCATACACCAATTTACCCCATGTGGTTCAGAACCAGCAAGTATATCTGCCTGCTCGTTTCCCAATACACTACCATGACCTAGAAAAAAGTATAATGGTAATGTGCGCAACAAAAATAGTCGTCATTTGTTAGCCACAGAATAAAAAGAAACAAACCGGAACGTGTTATGAAAACTGCACAAATGTTAACACAAGACACCAATCTGTGAAGCCGAACATATCCACTGTCAATATTCAACATTTGATGTCATTGGGATGTAAGGCACAATCTGGAATACAACTGCTGGAAGACAGCCAGGAACTGTACCAGGTAATAAAGACATCTCACTGAAGATCTTCACCGGTTCCTAAATGTCCACAGTCACAACTAGCGATCAGTGAGTCTCTGTGGCCAAGTGGTCAAGCCGTTTGCCTCGCGCTCTGAAGGTCGTGGGTTTGCGCCCTTTAGTTCACAAGTGCATTTTTTTTACAGAGGACTCTGGGGATCGTCGAGGGAGCTACGGAGTTCGTTCTCTGTGCGGCGCTCTCGGCAGTTGGCCTGCCCTACTGCGGAGAAAGACCAAGCCATATTGGATAAACCCGGTGCAATTAAGTCGATCCTCTCGACTTTGTCTACATATCCTCTCAGGTATTCATTCTTTCAGTCTGAATGGTTCAGTCATACTCCAGGGTTGGTGTGACCTAGAAGGCCCACCTCTAGATTGCCAAGTCCCAAACTCGAGCCTGTAGTGGCTACTTGTAGGACAATTTCTCTTCCTTTTATCCTCTGCACAAGAACATTAAAAAAGCTCAGTTATTTTATGTGTACTTTTTTTCACATTTAAGCTTGTAGCTGCATCGCTGTGTGAGTGTGCTGATGAAGGTTTCCTAGCCGCAATGTCAACTTTGTCATTCCTGGTTGTGCTTCACTTAGAAGCTGGCTAGTTTTTTTTTTCAGCTGATTGTTTTTTTTTCGTTATTCTCTTGGCAGTACCTTCTCGGGTAATGTCGTATGCAGGTGAGAGTCGGTTCGAGTTTATGCCTCGGTCACCGTCATGGTCTAATTTGCCAAGTAAACGACCCACCAGCAACAGCATTTGCGCTTTCAGAGGGTTGTGGTCTCAAGCATGGGCACCTTCGCTGCCGCCAAAGTGCTGTTTTGTGGAACATACACTGTCTTCGTGTGGACCACAGCAGCAACTCAGAGCACCAACGCATACTTTCACTATGTGATCATGATAGTCCCAAGATCCAACCCAACGAGTACATCTGATTCTAAGACCTTAAAGTCTTGTATCAGCTACTGACCACAATTTGTCTACCAGCTCCGCCAGGAGTAGAAATCACTGTAACAGTATAAAGACTGCCAGTTGATCGACATCATTGGTCCAAGTCTAAACTGTGCAAGGTAAAATCACCGATAGAAACGCTGTTGGTTACAAAATCAGCGTCCGTTAAATAACCCCTGGACTTTCTGGCCTGGCGAGTTCTCCTGAGGAAACAGACAATGGACAGGACGATGGCTGCTGCAGCAACTGCTGAAGTGACCACAATGATGGCTATTTCAGCCTCAGGTGACAGTCCATAAGCTGAGCTGGCCTCACTTTGTCCAGAAGGATCCGTTGAGATGGGTTCCTCTGTGGTGCTGTTTCGTGCTGTCTCTGTTGTATCCACATGTGTCCACGTGGAGCAGTTGCTTATTGTTGGTGTATTTGTTGTTGTTTTGCTGATGGGGCTAACTTCTGAAGTTGTTCCAGAATCACTTTTTGTTGTTTCAGTTGTAAGTAGTTGTTCAGCTGTAGAAAACATGGAATTCGTTGTGTCTGATCGGGACGCATTTGTTTCGGTAGTAGAAGTGAGCTGACCTGAAGTTGTTGCAGTATCCGGTGTAGGTTCTGTTTGAGCCGAGGTCTCCGCGTGTTGTGAGACAGCTTCAGTGGACGTCCCAGTAGACTGTGTGTGCCCTTGGGTCGAAGATGCGGTCAATGCTGACAAATTTGTGGGAGATGCTGAACTACTAGATGCCAGCGACCTGCTGCTTGCTGTGGCTTCAGACGTTGACTGTTCGTTTCTAACTGAGGTGCTGAAAGTAGCCAAGATAGTGCTGAGAGTAGCCGAGAAGGTACCTGGACTAGCGGAGATAGTGCTGGGGCTGGCCAAGATAGTGCTAGAAGTTGCCGAGTCAGTGCTCAAAGTAGCAGAGATGGGGCTAGAAGTTGCAGAGACAGTGATAGTACTGGCTGACACAGTGCTTGCAGTACCGGCTGTTGCCATTGCTATCCAACTGCTGGCGTCCACGGCTGATGCTGCTGCTCCTGAGGCTGGCGTAGCCTCATCTGGTGACTGGTGTCCATGAAGTTGTGTGTTTGTCTGTGTAACTGTTGAGCTGGCATCCGTTGATAAGGTTGTCTCTGTACCTTAGGTTCAATACAAGAAATGATAAGCAAAGCGTTCTGTCTGTTTAAATATATGTGAGAGCGCGCGTGGGCGTGTGTGTGTCAGTCTACCTACTGTGAGCGAGAGAGAGTGGGAGAGAGAGTGTGAGAGTGAGTGAGTGAGTGAGTAACTGAGTGAGTGAGAGAGAGTGAGTTAGGGAGTGAGTGAATGAGTGAGTAACTGAGTGAGTGAGTGAGAGAGAGATTGAGTGAGTGAGAGTGAGTGAGTAAGAGACAGTGAATGAGAGAGTGAGAGAGAAAGTGAATGAGAGAGAGAGAGCGAGTGAGAGAGAGAGAGCAAGAGTGAGAGAGAGATTGAGTGAGTGAGTGAGTGAGAGACAGTGAATGAGAGAGTGAGAGAGAAAGTGAATGAGAGAGAGCGAGTGAGAGAGAGCGAGAGTGAGAGAGAGAGTGAGTGAGAGAGAGAGAGAGAGAGAGATAGAGAGAGACGGTGAAAGAACAAGTCATTAATAGTTTTGAAGTTACCAACATCACAGTGAGCCAAGTCAAATCCTAATTTATATTTCTTTTTCCTAAAGTGCATGCCATGTGGCGTTGGTAGTCATGTCTATCCACAACCTTCTGTTTCAGGTACTTTCACTCAGCTGTGACACAGATGATCCTCCATGCCACGAAGTCAAACAGCCCAGCATCTGTTCTCTAGGTCTCCTTCTGCCTCTCACCCCTCCCCCCCCCCCCCCCCCACTTTCCTACTGTCACGATGTACTCCAGTTTTCTCCTTCTCATCACATGACTAAATATTGAAGAGACCATTCAGATTGTCGCTTTCTGATGTGGGCAATCTGTTCTCTTCGTGAATTACTTTCATATTCATGACTCCTTTTATCTGTCCAGGTTATTCTCATCATTCGTCTTTAAACCACATATCTGCAGCTTTTAAGTAAGTTTTCATTAATCTACCCAATGTCCATGATTCACTTCCGTGGATCAAGATAGGACTTTTATAGGTTTTTTATATTTTATATGTGTACGTTTCTGTTTAGCCGAAGAGGATAAGAAGGCTGGGACGCCACAGAGAACTTACATATTTGGGTTATGTGAGAGAACTTACACATGACAGAAGCTCTGGGTAACCATCTGGGTTATGTGAGAACTTACACATGAGAGAAGCTTAGGCTAACCATCTGGGTTATGTGAGAGAACTTAGACATGAGAGAAGCTTAGGCTAACCATCTGGGTTATGTGAGAGAACTTACACATGAGAGAAGCTTAGGCTAACCATCTGGGTTATGTGAGAGAACTTACACATGAGAGAAGCTTAGGCTAACCATCTGGGTTATGTGAGAGAACTATAGCCAGACTGTTCACAGAGAACTTACACATGAGAGAAGCTTAGGCTAACCATCTGGGTTATGTGAGAGAACTATAGCCAGACTGTTCACAGAGAACTTACACATGAGAGAAGCTTAGGCTAACCATCTGGGTTATGTGAGAGAACTATAGCCAGACTGTTCACAGAGAACTTACACATGAGAGAAGCTTAGGCTAACCATCTGGGTTATGTGAGAGAACTTACACATGAGAAAAGCTAAGGCTAACCATCTGGGTTATGTGGAGAACTTACACATGACAGAAGCTCTGGCTAACCATCTGGGTTATGTGAGAGAACTTACACATGAGAGAAGCTAAGGCTAACCATCTGGGTTATGTGAGAGAACTATAGCCAGACTGTTCACAGAGAACTTACACATGAGAAAAGCTTAGGCTAACCATCTGGGTTATGTGAGAGAACTTACACATGAGAGAAGCTAAGGCTAACCATCTGGGTTATGTGAGAGAACTTACACATGAGAAAAGCTTAGGCTAACCATCTGGGTTATGTGAGAGAAATTTAGACAGACTGTTCACAGAGAAAGGGATATAAATCTCGCACCGTGCAAAATACTCTATGAATTAACAATAACCTGTCGTGTTTCTTCAATAACTAAAGATAAAGGTAAAGGGGAGATGATCCACTTGGCTTGCATATCTCTATAGAAAACAGGACAAAGGTGATAGCTTCCCCTTGATTTCCACATCCAAACGACTTCAGACAACGACCTCAACTCTTCGCATCGTAGCCAGACTTGAGAGAGTACTCTCTAGTCATTTCTATAATGATGATGACAAATACACCTAACCTACCAACAGATGAAGAACACAAACTTGTTATGACGAGGAGCAGCCACAGATGTGGCTTCAGATGTCCACACAGCAACCTTGACATATTTACTCGGGTTCACAGCCTTGCCCTACTTAATGAACCACTTACACACAGGCACATACGTTTGTGAACTGTTAATACACATGAACAAGTGCAAATCATCATCGTCTCTGAACCGACAATAATATCGGGATGTTAAAAAAGTTGTAATATCATCACTTTGTTAACACAGGTTGCAGTTCCGCGAAAGCGAAAGATTATGCCACTGAAAGATTTACTTTATTCATGGTTAATCAAATAACCAGTAAGTAATAGACAGTATCACGCCAGTACAGCTTAATGTTACACATTCTTGTGAGACACATCACTGCCTATTTGTTACTGGAAACCCTGTCCACATAAACCTTGGATGTTGGCAACCATCGCAGAATTGTCCAGTTGTGTTCTGAACCACAAGGTGATTACGAAATAAGTTTATCTTGCGTGCATTCATAAAGACGGTTAGACAAAGGTTCAAGGATGTTTATTATTAGCCAGAAATTACCCGGCATTCTTCAAGATAATTCTAATCACAAGCTTGTACTTGACCAAACAGCCACTTGTCTTCAGCTATCTCTCTACACACCTGCGGTTTGTTCTAGTCCTTCTTAGGGCAGAAACAACAGCTCATTTTCTAACGTGTTCCAGTTAAGATGGTGAGGTTCTTTTATGTTATTTCACCACATCACTTTAAGATTTGGTAGGGAAATCCCCAGACTGTCCCATAGTATTGGATTGGGGGGGGGGGGGTAGGGTTAGTGATAAATGAATAGAGACTAATACTAAGCCTATCCCTAACCCCCCTATACAATGGGACGGTCTGTGGAATTTCCCTACCAAATCTCGAAGCCGGCGTGATGTGAAAAAAAAGAAAGGAGCCCACGGTGAGATAAAACATACACTTTCACATACGTAAACAACTCACTCGTAATCAAACTGCTTAACTTTTGATTAATTGTCTCTGGCGAATTCTAGTTCCTCTTTCATGTTAACTGCGGGGCCGCGTTAGCGCAGTCGATAGGAGACACGCTTTCAAATCCAGCTGCGACTCGCTGAAGCCCACGGCCGGTGTTCACCCTGCCTCTAAGAAATAGGTTGATACTCTGGGGTTAATGGAGGAACGTCGCTGTAGCTACGGAGTTACGTGCGAACGGCGACACAGGCGGATAATTTCTCATCAGCTGTGCGTACTGGTAGCAGAGCACTTATAGTTTATATCTGTGTGCAATGACGCTGGTTCACATAATGATAAAGTCATGGTGGCTCGTCCACTTGGACTTTGGCTTTGTGCCAAGACCTGCATTTTGCGGGTACATCCGTTTTACTGACAAGAAATCAAGCCAAACAACAAGTACAACCAGTCAGGTTCATATGATCACAAACGACAAGCGAACGTTGCGGCTAGGGAGTCTTTATCAGCACTGGTTTGACGACACCGTTCTGCACATCTTACAAGTGTCTTACTTCTCCCAGAGTATTTCACTATATCCTGGTGCCCAGCTCGACCCCCCCCCCCCACCCCACCCCACCAACCTGCAAACCACGACCTCTTACAGCTTTTAATAGGCCAAATAGGTCGACGGAAATTCCATATTTTTGTGGAAGTCCGAGAGGCAGGTCTGGGTTCATTATTTTTCTCAAGTAGATTTATACACAAATTGAACTACAATTTCACTAATTTGCAACGCACTTTATTGTGTGATGAATCTACTGCCGGAGGTCACTCTGCATACCTATCTACTTGCTCATTTACGCTTACACACGCACATGCACTGAAGAAAAATGAAAGTTTCTGTGAGCAGTGACCGATTTAGAGGCACAAACCACTTTCTTCTGACCTAGCCAGCCCCATCTTCTCAGCATACTCAATGTGTCACAGAGAAAACATCCCCGTGTGAAGGTCTGCCTCTCCAGCTATATTACTGCTTTAGTCACTGCCATCGCTCCTATAGTCAGACTACTTGTTGAGGCAAAAGCACCAGACTTTACCTTGGCAATTCTTCCTCCAGCTTAAGCAGTCAAATCCAACAAGCTTCTCACGTGTCAAAAGACAGATCCATCTTGCACATGACAGGCATCATTGTCTGGAGGATTCTTGAAGATCAAGGCTGGAACTTCTGCCTTCACAGTAGTCTGGACTTGGTTATCTGCTGGAACTTCTACCTTCACAGTTGCCTGGACTTGGTTATCTGTTGGAACTTCTGCCTTCACAGTTGCCTGGACTTGGTTACCTGCTGGAACTTCTGCCTTCACAGTTGTGTGGACTTGGTTACCTGCTGGAACTTCTGCCTTCACAGTTGTGTGGACTTGGTTACCTGCTGGAACTTCTGCCCTTCACAGTTGTGTGGACTTGGTTACCTGCTGGAACTTCTGCCTTCACAGTTGTGTGGACTTGGTTACCTGCTGGAACTTCTGCCTTCACAGTTGTGTGGACTTGGTTACCTGCTGGAACTTCTGCCTTCACAGTTGTGTGGACTTGGTTACCTGCTGGAACTTCTGCCTTCACAGTTGTGTGGACTTGGTTACCTGCTGGAACTTCTGCCTTCACAGTTGCCTGGACTTGTTTATCTGCTGGAACTTCTGCCTTCACAGTTGCCTGGACTTGTTTATCTGCTGGAACTTCTGCCTTCACAGTTGCCTGGACTTGGTTATCTGTTGGAACTTCTGCCTTCACAGTTGCCTGGACTTGGTTATCTGTTGGAACTTCTGCCTTCACAGTAGCCTGGACTTGGTTATCTGTTGGAACTTCTGCCTTCACAGTAGCCTGGACTTGGTTACCTGCATTTTCAGTCATCAGTTGTTAACAGAAAATAACGTACACACTCTGTTAGCACTCACTTCTTCTGCCTTCTATTCCCCGAATGGAGCATAGGCCTTTAACCAACTCAAGACCAAGTCATTCTATCTTTTGCTATTGCATGCAGCTCTTCCCATCATTTTAACTTCACTCTCTAGCTCCTTTCTAAGTGTATTTTTAGTCTGCTTTTATTTTGATGCCCTGTGGGTTCCAGTGCAAAAACAAACTAGTTATACTGTTCTCAGATTTGCTCTTTTCCAACATCAGCGTCTTTTCTTTCTCTCTTGGTCCTCTTAAACTTGTTTAGTTTTCTTCCAAAGTGCAATATTAGTGATTCTATCATACCATTTAATTCCTTCTAATCTGCGCAGGCACCAGAAAATGAATGTTTGTAGTTTATTAATAACTGTTTAAGTTATTCTCCATGTTTCTGCTCCACACAAAACAATCACTGATTTGACACTTGAATGAAAAAGGTTCAGTTTAGTATCAGTTTTAATTTCTGTTGACCTCCACAAATGACCTAGTGCAATGAAAGCTCCCCTTGCCTTTTGTATTCTGATTTTAATATCTCTACCAGTTCACCCATCTTTATCTACATTATTGCTCTAATAGGTGTAGGACTCCGCATCTTGGAGTGAGATACCGTTTTAAGAAAACAATATTTGCCTGATTTATTCTTTTTGCTTTGTCCTTACCTTATGAACTTTCAGACTTAGCTGTTGTGATCACGCATCAAGCATGTCCAATTTATCTTGCATCTGATCCTGTGAGTGGGACAGAAGCAAAACGTCAGCAATGTTCAGTAGTTTGCCACTGCTTTATGAATGGTCCACTCTCACTATCGCTGTTGAAATCAATGAATGGAGGCCAGCTGCCAAATCGCTAGCAGCTGGAATCAAATGTTGACACTTCTAGGCCCAGAACAATTCATCCACTTTCATACCTAGAACAACCAAATACTTACTTCCATACCTAGAACAACCAAATACTCACTTCCATACCTAGAACAACCACCCAATTCCATACCTAGAACAACCAAATACTCACTTCCATTCCTAGAACAACCAAATACTCACTTCCATACCTAGAACAACCAAATACTTACTTCCATTCACAGAATATTCAAATACTTCTATGTCTAGAATAATTAACTACTTACTTCCCTACCTAGAACAATATAATACTCACTTCCATACCTACAACAATCAAACATTCACTTCTAAACCTAGAACAAGCACCCACTTCCATACCTAGAACAAACACCCACTTCCATACCTTGAACAGTCAAATACTCACTTCCATACCTAGAACAAACACCCACTTCCATACCTACAACAATCAAACATTCACTTCTAAACCTAGAACAAACACCCACTTCCATACCTAGAACAAACACCCACTTCCATACCTAGAACAAACACCCACTTCCATACCTAGAACAGTCAAATACTCACTTTCATACCTAGAACAGTCAAATACTCACTTTCATACCTAGAACAGTCAAATACTCACTTTCATACCTAGAACAGTCAAATACTCACTTTCATACCTAGAACAAACACCCACTTTCATACCTAGAACAAACACCCACTTTCATACCTAGAACAATCAAATACTCACTTTCATACCTAGAACAGTTAAATACTCACTTTCATACCTAGAACAATCAAATACTCACTTTCATACCTAGAACAGTTAAATACTCACTTTCATACCTAGAACAATCAAATACTCACTTTCATACCTAGAACAAACACCCACTTTCATACCTAGAACAAACACCCACTTCCATACCTAGAACAAACACCCACTTCCATACCTAGAACAGTCAAATACTTCCATCAATAGAGCAATCAATTACAGGGAAAGGTAGTTTACAGATCCTGCTTGTAATGTTGTGAACTCATAAGAAAGGTATTAACAGGTATTGATAATGTAACAGCATACATGGACAATATTTGCATACACACGAAAACTTTGCCAGAACACATAGACACCTTAAAAAAAGTGTTCAGCAACATTCAAAAGGCAAATCTCACTGTTAATCCAGTGAAATCAGAGTTTTGTTTCACACGTATTCAGTTTTTAGGACATACAGTGTTCCATGGTAGTATTCAGACTGACGAGACAATTGTTTCTAAGATTTTAAAAATTGAAAGACCAAAAAACAACTGCAGGCACTATTAGGATTGGTAAATTATTACGGCAAATTCATCCCTAAGTT